GCACCTTGCTTGTCATTTGACACAGAAGATGTAACATAGGGGAAGTGCACAATAGCCTCCATGGTGGGGTGTGATATTTTTTTTCCATCTGAATTTTGCATAAAAGTTAACATCCTTTGCTTGTAATTTTCTTTCACAAGCATCCTAGTCTCTGAAACTACCAAATGCAGCAGACTTTCTTTACTCTTCCTCTCTTACCTTATTTGAAGACTGAATTTGTTTTTTTTCTCTCCATTTTGAGATGTTTATAATAATGTGAATGCTGGCTGGTATTCTTTCTGGGTTAAAAATAACTGGTATTTTAAATAATGCATTTTAAAGTTATGATAAACAGCAATGCTTTTTTATTATTGACACTATTGCAGATGTTCCCATTTTCCCACCCTTTGTCCCCCTCTCCCAGCTTCCCCCAGCCTTCACCACACTGTTGTCTGTGTCCATGGGCTATATGTGCATACATGTTTTTTGGATGATCTCTTACAGTTTCCCCCACACCTTTCCCCTCTGAGATCTGTCAGTCTGTTCCAAGCATTCATGCCTCTGGTCCTATTCTGTTTGTCCATTTCTTTTATTCATTAGATTCTACATATGAGCAAGATCATCTGGTATCTATCTGTCTTTCTCTGACGGGCTTCTTTTACTTATCATAATAATCTCCAGTTCCATCCATATTGTTGCAGAGGGTTAGTGTTCCTTCTTTTATATAGCTGTGTAGTATTCCATTGTATAAATGTACCACATCTTTTTTTATCTACTCATCTATTGATGGGTACTTGGGCTGTTTCCAGATCTTGGCTATTGTAAATAACACTTCTATGAACATAGGGTTGCATATATTCTTTCTGATTGGTATTTCAGGATTCTTAGGATACATTCCCAGAAGTGGGATCACTGAGTCAAATGGAAATACCATTTTTAATTTTTTGGGAAACTCCATACAGTTTTTCAAAGTGGCTATACTAATTTGCATTTCCGTGAACAGTGCATTAAGTTTCCCTTTTCTGCACAGTCTCATCAGCACTTGTTGTTTCTTGATCTATTGATGGTGGACATTTTGGCATATTTGGGGTGATATCTCATTGCAGTTTTAATATGCATTTCTCTAATGATTATTGACGTTAGGCATTTATTCATGTTTATTGTCCATTTGCATATCCTCTTTGGAGAAGTGTTTACTCAGGTCTCCTGCCCATTTTTTAATTGGATTGTTTATTTTATTGGTGTTGAATTGTATAAATTCTTTACATATTTTGGACGTTAACTTCTTATCAGATGTATCCTTGGTGAATATGTTCTCCCATACAGTAGGTTCCCTTTTTACTTGATGGTCTCTTTTTCTTTAAAGATTTTATTTTTGTTTATGTTTAGAGAAAGGAGAAGAGAGGGGAAAGAGAGGGAGAGAAACATCAATGTGTGGTTGACTCTCATGTATCCCCAGCTGGGGACTGGGCCCACAATCCTGGCATGTGCCTTGACTGGGAATCAAACTGGTGAACCTATGGTTCACAGGCCAGTGCTCAATTCACTGAGCCACACCTGCCAGAGATGTTGATGGTTTCTTTTGCCATGCAGAAGCTTTTTAGATTGATGTAGTCCCATTTGTTTATTTTTCTTTTTTTCCTCTTGCCCTAGGAGATATATTGGCAAAAATATTGCTACAAAAATGTCTGAGATTTTTACTGCCTATATTTTCTTCTAGGATTTTATGGTCTTGTAACTTACATTTAAGTCTTTAATTAATTTTTAGTTTGTTCTTATATGTGATGTAAGAAGGTGGTATATTTTCACTTTTTTTTTTTTTGCATGTGCTGGTCCAGTTCTCCCAACACCATTTATTGAAGAAATAGTCTTTACCCTATATTATGCTCTTTCATTATTTGTCAAATATTAATTGACCATAAAGGCAAGGATTGACTTCTGGGCTCTCTGTTCTGTTCCATTGATCTATATGCCTGTTCTTATGCCTGCACCAGGCATGTACAGGCATGTTTTGATTACAATGGCCTTGTAGTGTAGTTTGATATTCAGTATTGTGATCCTCCAACTCTGTTCTTCTTTCACAAGATTGCTGAGCTATTCGGGGTCTTTATTGATTCCATGTAAATTTTTAGAATAAGTGTTCTAGATCTGTGAAATATGCCATTGGTATTTTAATAGGAATTGTGTTGAATCTATAGATTGCTTTGGGTATTAGAGATTTTAATGTTAATTCTTCCAATCCAATAACACAGTGTATGCTTTCAGTTGCTTGTGTATTCCTCTTTTTCTTTCTTCATTGTCCTATAGTTTTCTGAGTATGGGACTTTTACCTCCTTAGTTAAGTTATTCTTAGTTATCTTTTTTTTTGTTACTATGGTAACTGAGATTGTTCTCTCGGTGTCTTTTTCTGAGAGTTCATTATTGGTGTATAAAAGAGCAATGCTTTTTGAAAGAAAAAATTACAGGACTCTAAAGAGTTGATAGTTTTGAAAGATTAGAATCATTGCTGTCCATTATATTATTGACAATTATTTAGATAATCATAACAAAATGTATAGGAATATATGAAAAATACCAGCGATTGACCAAATTAAGTAAAAATGATAGTTTTTTTACTTAGATATCTCCAAAGTAAAGTAGTTTCTTTTATTTATAATTTATTTGGCAATATTAGAAAGAGAAAAACTATACAACTATAATCTGATGTACGTCTTTTCCTTTGTGAGGAAATATTCTGTTTTCTTAGAATTGGTTAGTATCTAATATGTTGGTAATAGAATGATGTATAGTTATTATTTTGCTAAATGTTAACTCTATGTACAATTTTAGATCTTCAAGTCCCCAAACACCATTTCAATATTTATGAGAGCCTCCAGGGGTTTCTGAAATGGTCTTATTCATGAATGCAATATATATTCCATGGTGTATTTTCCTTGTATGTCTTTTGAACATTTCTCTGTTGGACTTTTCTCTGTTTTCCCATCCATCATCCTGAATTCATTGGAGACCAAGAAGTTTGAAAGATCTTGCAAAGAAACTCCAATCTACGTTTAGTGTTGCCTTCTACTTGAGTGTTATTAAAGTTTTTTATAGAATACACAGAGTTTTTGCATAAAATAGCTCTTTTGGGTTCTAATTACAAGTCTGATTTCTGCCTTTCTCACCTCCAAACTTTCCCGAGTCCAGTGTGAGAGCTGAGTTTGGATAGATCTGAGTAACAGGAAACAAGTGATACTCCCAATTGCTCCTCCTCTCTTTTGACCCAGTAAGGCTTAATTACTGGGTCAAGCTTGCCATGTCTGAATACCTATTTTTTTATTGGAGGTTCTTTACTGGAGGCTCCTGGTGCCTCAAGCAAATCTAACCCCCAAATTCTTACCAAGTCTGGTAGGATCTCAGATGTGGTGTTCCTCTGTTGCCTGTATAGTTTTGGAGTTAAATGTTTCCATAGATTCTTCTGATTAATCTTACATTTTGTTAAGTAACTAGTAGCTAGACCATCTAAAGAAAGTTTGATTGAGTGGCAAAGGCTTTTGAAATGGTATTAATAGCCATGATGGAGAGCAGAAATGAAAGACTTGAAGTTTTAAATATGATCTACTACTTGAAGTATATAATGTCTTTTAAAGATTTGGAGGTACATATATGACCGGTAGGTTTTTTCAATGGTGATGACTCTTTAAAAAAGTTTAAAGGGTGTAAATGCAATTACAAAAGTACAAAAATGATTTTGAAATTGAATAAGTTTAAATTTACCCATTATATTGTCCAGATATTTGAAACCTTAAAGTGTTCCCGTCTACCCCTGTGTGCAGCAAAGAACGAGAAGAGACATGGCAATTAGTGTAATTACCACTCCTAGCCTCTATCAGGGACAAGAGAAAGAAAAATTGTTCTTTAGAGTGTCCTACACCCACATCCCCTTTTCCCCTCACTGTCATGCGAAAGGATCCAAATGTACTAACATATTTTCCTGATTGTGTCAAGGTCTCTACTATAAACCTGCCACCTTTAGGGAGCACTTCCTACCATGCGCCATTATTCTGTTCTGTGCCCTAAAGAATTACTTTCTGCAAACTGACATGTTAAAGATATTTGAACAACAAATTTGTGTCTCTTCCAGGAATGTTGGTCATGTTATGGCACATCATGACTTGATGTGAGCTCTGACTTTGGGATTTGGAATATTAGGGATGGATTGATAGGGTGACGTGTGGGCAGAACTATGTTCTCACAACCCATGAAATCGCATGAAAGTGGAAGTCAATATGCTTTCTCAACATAAAAGTGATACTGTTCAGGACACACTGTCGCTGGGGACTCTATATTTGTAAGAAAAGCAATAGAACATATTAAAAAGGATATGGGATTTGGAGTCCTCACTCAACACTTTTCAGTCTATACTATTTCATTAGTGAACAGATCACGTTAATAACATCTACCTCACTGGGTTTAATCAAGAGGAAAAAATGAGATATTGTAGGTTTGGGTTATTTATGAACTGTGATATGGTACACAGAAAATGAGACAGTACTGGGGTTATAAAATTTTCTTTTCATATATACACACATGTATAAAGAAACTCCACATTAGATGCATAGCCACTTTATAAAATAACTCATACATATGAATACTTTAACATAAATTCTCTTATCTGTAAGAAAGATCTGTATTGACATTGTTTTTTGTTATCACTAGTCTTGATTTATAATTTATACAATTATGTAGAGTTTCAGAGGGCTAGATATAAATAAAAGGAATCTTTAAGTACTTTAAGACTTCTGTGAAATCATAAAGCATTTGTCTTTCTTTTTATGACTTATTTCACTAGCATAATACTGTCTAGTTGTATTCACGTTCTCAAAAATAGCCAGCTTTTATTCTTTTTTATGGTTGAATAATATTTTATTGTATGAATGTACCAAATATTCTTTATCCATTTTATCAAGATGCAAGTGAAACATTTTAAATCATGCCATTATTATTATTATTGTTATCACTGTTATTGTTGTTATTTATAGGTGGGGCACACTGAGAGGAGCCCAAGGGCAGAAAGAAAAATTCTGGGTATGTAACCCTCCTTGAATTTCTACTGTGAAGTGGATGTTTTAGAATTGTGTGTGTCTATAGTCCCTGATTTCTATTATTTAGTCTCTTCCTAATCACTGTGCTATTGTTTGTAATATCAGCATATTCTTCAACCCAAAACTCATTGTAATCATTAATATTTTAGTAATACTTTTTCTCAACTACTCTTATTTCAACTGTAAAAAAAGAACTGTATTTTTAATTGTCATTTATATTAAAATTTAATGGTTAGACTTCATTCATATATGTCAGTCAACTTTGTATTCTTACAGTCTTTATGATATGGATAATGTTTTTGTAACATTTGTGTCAATTATTTCATATAGGGGAGATAAGAAAAATTTTATTATCCTTTGGGATCAGATCAATTAATTAGACAAAATATTTCTGGAAGAAGTGAAAGCAAATATTCCCTATTTTTTAATGTACATAATTTGTGGGTAGGAGACAAAGTTTGAAGTAAGTGTAAGTTTACTGTGTATAAAGTGATGATTTTTTTATACATTGAGTATTGCAAAATGCTTACCAAAATAAGGTTTGTTAACATATCCATTACCTCATATAGTCATCAGTTTTAGTGTGTATGGTCAGAACATTTAAGATATATTCTCTTACTATCTTTCAAGATTATAATACATTATCACTAACTATAAGCAACATGTTCTATATTAAATTCACATTATTTATTAATCTTATAACTAGAAGTTCATACCTTTTCAACAACATTTCTGCAACAAACTGGATAACCTACATTAAATAGATAAGTTCCTAAGAATATACAATGTACCAAGACCGAATCATAAAGAAATAGTAACACAGGGAAAATAACTAAGGGGGGGTGGAAATGGGAGGGAGGTGGGGAGCATGGTGCTAGGTGGGCTGGGATAGGAGAAATAGACGGAAAACTGTACTTGAAAGATAATTAAATAAAAAAATTAAAAAAAAAAGAAATAGTAACTCTCAACAGAACAGTGAGTAAGAAGATTAGATCAGCATTCAAAAGCTTCCTAATAAAGAAAAGCCCAGGATGAGATGTTTTCACCGGTGAATTCTGCTAATCATTAAACTAAGGATTGATGCCAGTTCTTCTCAAACTCTTCCAAAAAAATTGAAGAGCAGACATACTCCCCAATTTCTTCTATGAGACCAGAATCAACCTGATATCAGGTTGTCCAGATAAGGACACTGAAAAAAAGGATCTATAGAGTATATATTCCTGATGAACATAGATGGAAAAATTATCAACAAAACCAGCAAACTGACTTCAACAGTACACTGAAAGGATCATATATCATGATCACATTAGATTTATCTCTGGGATACAAAGATAGTTCAACATATATAAATCAATAAACATGATATACCATACTAATAAAATGAAAGATAAAATTCATATAATCATTTCAACTGATACAAAAAAGCATTTGAGAAAATCCAACATCATTTTATAATAAAAATACTCAGAAAATTTGGTATAGAAAAACGCATACCTTAACATAATAAACACCATATGTGGCAAACCCACAGCGAACACTACACTCAATAATAAAAAGTTGAAAGCTTTTCTCCTAAGATCAAGAACAAAACAAGGATGCTTACTCTTACTTCCCCTAATCCAAGTAGCACTGGAAACCCTAACCAGAGCAGTTAGGCAAGGAAAAGAAATAAAAATCATCTAAATTGGAAAGGAAGAAGTGAAGCTGTCTCTGTTTGCAAATGATAGGATTTTACATATAGAAAACCTTAAAGACCTCATTAAAACTATTTAATCTAATAAATAATTTCAGTAAAGTTGCAAGACACAAAATAAACATGCAAAAATCAGTTATATTTCTACACTTTAACAACAAGCTATCTAAAAAAATCATTTTAAAAATCCTAGTTACAATAGTATAGATACTTAGGACTAAATTTAACCATGGAATTGTACTGAAAATGATAAGAAATTGAAGAAGAAGCAAATAAATGAAAGGCTACCCCATGTTCATGGATTGGAAGCATTAATACTGTTAAAATATCCATGCAACCCAACAGCATCTGTAGATTCAATGCATCCCTATCAGAATTTCAATGACAGTTTCCACAGAAATAGATAAAACAATCCTAAAATTTATATAAAACCACAAAGACACTGAATGTCCAAAACAATCCTGACAAAGAGAAACAGAGCCAGACACATTACACTTTCTGATTTCAAGCATTATTACAGAGCTCTTCAAAGCAGAGTGATAGTAGCATAAAAATATATACATAGTCCAATGGCAGAGAATGGGAACCCAGAAAGAGACCCACTGACTAACTAATGCTTGACAAGAAAGCCAGAAAGACACATGGAGAAAATATGGTCTCTTCAATAGGTGGTTTTGGGAAAACTGGATGACCACATACAGAAGAATGAATTTGGAGCCCTATATTATAATACCCACAAAAATTAACTTGAAATGGGCTAAAAACTTAATTGTAAGACTGGAATTGTAAGACTTTTAAAGGAAAACAGGAAAACATTTTCCTTGCCATGGGGCTTGGCAAAGATATTTTGGATAAGATACTAAAAGCACAAGCAACAAATACAAAATTCAACATCAAGCTAAAAAGCTTCTTTACAACCAAAGAAATAATCAGCAAAATAAAAATGCAATCTACAGAATGGGAAAAAATGTTTGCAAACTGTATATCTGATAAAGGTTACTATTTAAAATCTGCAAGGAACTCAAACAAGTCAATAGCAAAAAAAAATGAAACAATCTGATTAAAAGATCAGCAGAGGATTTAAAGACATTTTTCAAAAGAAGACATAAAAGGGCCCACAGGCATGTGAAAAGGTGCTCAGCATCACCGACAGTCAGGGAAGTGGAACTCAAAATCACACTGAGATACTGCCTCACACCTGTTAGGATGGCGGCTATCAAAGAAACGAGAAACCTGCTGGTGAGGATGCGGAGAAAGGCAACCCTTGTGCATAGTTGGTGGGGATGTAAATTGGTGTAGCCAGTATAAAAACAGTATGGAGGCTCCTCAATAAATTCAAAATAAAACCACCATATGGTGATGCAAAAATCCCACTTACTGGTATACATTCAAATGAAATGACAAAGGAATGTGGAAGAAATGTCTATACTCCCCAGCTTTATTGCAGTATTATTCCTGATGGCCAGGATATGGAAACACTCTCAGTGTACGTCAGTAGGTGAGTGGATTAATAATATGGGGTGTGTACAAGGTGGGGCTAAAAGTGGGTTTATAGTTGTGAATATGTGAAGCAGAGTTTATTCTTGTATTATTATTTATTATTTTTTATAGTTTCCATATAGACAATGATAAACCTACTTTTGCCACAACATGCACATTGTACAATAAAATATTACTCAGCCTTAGAGAAGAAAATCCTGTTTTTGTGACAACATGGACGGGCCTTGAAGACATTATGCTAAGTGAAATGGCAGACAGATGAAGAAAAATATTGTATTTTTCACATGCAGAATTTTAAAAAGCTGAACTTATGGAAATAGCAAAGAGAATGTTGCCAGGGACCTGGCAGTAGGGGTGATGGGGAGTAGGGGTGTTGGAGAAAAGGCACGGACTCCTAACCATCAGGTAAATGAGATCTGGGGCTCTAATGCACAACATGGCAACTGTAACAGTCACAGCTGTATTATACAGGGGGGACCCCTGGTATAATACACTTATAAATAAACTTAAATTTATTGTCTTTCATCAAGATGGAGGCGTAGGTGGACATACTGTGCCTTCTCCCACAACCAAGTTTAAAAACAACAAAGTTTTAGCAACAAAGATACAGCCAAACCACAGAAAATTGAACTATATGGAAGTCTGACAACAGCGAACCCTTCAGCCAAACTGGTTAGAGGGGCAGAGCCAGCAGCAGAACTGGGTCGGGCAGGAAAGATCCACTGGACAGACCCAGGCATGCCACACAGGTATGCAGGCAGCCACGGGCGGATCCCGGGTGTGGAGTAGCCGGCAGACCCACTGAGGGTGCAAGGCAGCGGACCCACTGAGGGCTGACCGCAGTCATACATTTACCTGCAGATAAACCAGTGAAGGAGCAAGCAGTGAGACAGACCGTGCAGGCCCCAGTGGCGGGAAGTGACAGAGGGAACTGCCATTGTCCCTCTCTGACCCCACCCCCACATACAGTGTCACAAACCAGCGACCTGGGTTGCCCCGCCCTGGTGAACATCTAGGGCTCCGCTCCTCATACCTAACAGGCACAAACAGATCAAAACATGGCTCAAGAACAACTCAGAGCCCCAGAGCCAATAAATCTAAGCGCTGAAGAAATAGCCAAACTTTCAGATGCACAGTTCAAAACACTGGTGATCAGGATGCTCATAGAACTGGTTGATTTTAGTCACAAATTAGAGGAACATATGAAGGCTAAACTAATTGAAATGAAGGGAAATGCACAGGAAACCAATAGTAATGGAAAGGAAACTGGGACTCAAATCAAAGGAGTGCACCAGAAGGAAGAAAAAAATGACCAAACAGAAAAGGATGAAGAAACAAGAATTCAAAAAAATGAGGAGAGGCTTAGGAACCTTCAGGACATCTTTAAACGTTCCAACATCCAAATTATAGGGGTACCAGAAGGGGAATAGGAACAGCCACAAGTGGAAAACTTATCTGAACAAATAATAAAGGAGAACTTCCCCAGTCTGGCAAAGGAAATAGACTTCCAGGAAATCCAGGAAGCTCAGAGAATCCCAAAGAAGTTGGACCCAAGAAGAAACACACCAAGGTACATCCTAATTATATTAGTCAAGATTAAAATGAAGGAGAGAATCCTAGAAGCAGCAAGAGATAAGGGGACAGTCACCTACAAAGGAGTTCCCATCAGACTGTCAGTGGATTTCTCAAGAGAGACCTTCCAGGCAAGAAGGGTCTGGAAAGAGGTATTCCAAGTCGCGAAATCCAAAGACCTGCATCCAAGACTGCTCTATCCAGCAAAGCTTTCATTTAGAATGGAAGGGCAGATAAAGTGCTTCTCAGATAAGATCAAGTTCAAGGAGTTCATCATCACCAAGCCCTTATTATATGAAATGTTAAAGGGACTTACCTAAGAAAGAGAAGATAAAAAAGATGAACAGTGAAAGGACAGCAAACTCACAGTTATTAAGAACCACACCTAAAACAAAAGCAAACTAAGAGGACAGCTAGATCAGGAGCAGAACCATAGAAATGAAGATCATATGGAGGGTTAGCAACAGGGGAGTGGGAGAAGGAGAAGGGGGGAGAAGGTACAGAAAATAAGTAGCATAGATGGTAGGTAGAAAATAGATAGGGGGAGGGCAAGAATAGTATGAGAAATACAGAATCTAAAGAACTTGAGACGTGTTCATGAACTAAAGGGGGGAATGGTGGGGGGTGTGCAGGGTGGAGGGGAATGGAGGACGGAATAGAACAAATGTAATGGCATAATCAATAAAATATATTTTAAAAATTGAAAAAAGTTATGTTTTTTAACTTTATAAATAAACTTATTTTTTATAAAAATTGTATATTTATTGTTACATGTTTAAACTTTAGTCATCCTCAAAGTACTCTCCATTTGATGCAATACACCTATCAAGACTTTTTTCCATTGCTCAAAACAGTTTTTGATCTTGTTGATTTTGATGCCTTTTACCACTTATGCTGTTTTTTGTTTTACGGCTTTCACATCAGCAAAATGTTTCCCTGTGAGGACTGTTTTTGTGAGGGAAACAAAATGTCACTGGGACTAGATTGGGTGAATAGGGATGGTGGGGTATGGAGGTCATGCCATTTTTTGGTCTAAAATTGCTCAACACTCAGCACAGTGCGGGCAGGTGCCCTTGTAAATTACCCATCTCAAGATGGGCGAATGTGTTGTGTTAAAAAAAATTACTGAAGCTGAACGCAGCCTCTCACAACAATGCCAGCTGGTACACCGATATAGATGGGTTCCTAGGACACTCACCTAGCAGGGGCAGCCTACATTACAATGGGCCTATCTTCCAGAAGATGATTCATTTTTGGAGGGTCCCCTCTCATATATTTGAAAGTTGCTCATATATATTTAGAAAATATATAAGTTCTTCATTGTAATTTACAATAAGCCTAATGGTATTTAAAGCTACCTATGAACAAAGCTACCTTTGTTTTTACAGGCAGAATTGAAAAATAATCAAAGTATGATACTCAGCTTTTACATTTCTTTTTTCTTTTTTGCAGATTGCTGCCAATTCCTGGGGAAAGTCATGGGGAGAGAATGGCTATTTCAGGATTCTTCGAGGAGTAAATGAGTCTGACATTGAAAAGTTGATTATCGCAGCTTGGGGCCATCTAAATTCAGATGAGACCTAATATATTAAATTTCCATAGGCCGTGCATTTAAGTAACCCCTTAGACTGAAATTAAGCACTGTGAGGTTCTCCGTGACAGTGGATTCTTTGCCCCTTCACCTTGTGATTATAATCTGCCTGTTTTATTGTTTTACCCCAGGCCCCATGCTTCTGTTTTCTTTACATTACTGAGTATACCAAAACACAGAGAGAACAGCAAAGTGGCTACAAACCTTTAAAGTTCCTTTCTATCTTTACTCTTCTCCCATGACAATGTCTTTTTTCACTGGGTAGTTCACAAAGGGCGTGATGGCACTTGTCTTAAAAGTTCAGAGCATTCATTTGTAAATGTACGGTTCTTCTCTTTGACCAAGGAAGACTACAGACAACAAAAGCAATGGAAATGTTAATTTACCATCTTTACGCTTTTTTCCAACCAAATAATGCCTTTTTAATTCAGAGCTTGTTTGTTTTCCCCAAAGCAATGAAAATAGATGATTAATTGTTTCTCTCAATAAGCTAATGTTTTGTTTCTTCTCATTTGCCTAAACCTAATTTGCAATCCGGACACAAAAGGAAAGCGACTCTCCACAGCAAATAACTACTCTTTATGGTGCTGTGTGATGGCACTTATGTGGAGAAGATGGTAAGTATGGAACAGCTCAAAGGCTAACAGAAGTGCAGTCTAGACACATAGACACCTAGCTTGTGGAAGCCAATACACTTTGTGTAAAGTCTATTAAACTCAGCTGAAAAACTGTTTGGAAAGATAATATATTTATCTCTCCAAACAACAGTATGATGCATGAGTCAGATGGAAAAAAAAACACTTTTATCACAAGCGTTGTATAGCTCACTGCTTGAGATGCTAGAAGGTCAGCTAAATTGGTCTTACTTTCAATCTAATTTTTAGTTTCCTATAGTTAGGGAAAAAAATAGCATCATCATAACGGCCTGGAAAGAATATAATCTTTTCATAATTCACTGGCATCTTAGATGGTAAACTGACGAATGAAGAAGCAAAGCTGATCAGTAAGTGAGCATGGTCAATTATAACTACAGTGGTGGGACATCTATGGCCTTTGTTTCTCAGCACTTTTCAGCTTAATTTTCAGTGTGTGGCTTTTCTATATCGTTGCGCCCAAAGGTGCCCTGGTTAGATAAGCCAGCTGTGATGTGAACAGGGGAGGAAGCAGACACAGAAATGAGTGCTGCAGCAACTGCTGTTTTCTCCGTTTGTCACTGCAGCTTTATTCACATGGTTACTCCCTGGAAAATATCCATGAGGAGGATTTGTGTCCCATTGCTGAGCTAGGGGATCCCCCCAAGTCCCAAAGCCCCCACAGCTATTGCCTGGGGGATGAGAGAAGTGGAGCAGGTTCATTGAGGGTTACTTTGCATATCTGAAGAACCTTCTAGTGAGGTTAAGTGACTGTGCCTGTTCAGAACCAAAGAGATGGTCATGACTCCAACCCAGGATACCATTGTAGATTGAGGAGCTTCCCAAACCTGCAGGAGAGCAGGAAGGCAGTTAGCTGATTTTCACTTCGAGGCCTGCCTAGACTAACAAAGGCAGCGGAAAAAGGCAGGGGAAACCAGACTACTGGTAGGTGTAACCCAGTAATGGAGGAGTTAAAAATGGGATTATGGAGGAAGATCCACACTGGAATTTAAACCCAGGTGTGGGATAGCTATTACACTCTTGACAGTATGGCTTGGGAAGGAGAAGCCTCTTGACCATGTAGCAGTAGTGAGGGGTCTTGGCCACGTGGTTTGAAAGAATGCAGAAGGGTTCCCTGGCACACTATGAGGACGTGGTTTTAGATTAAGAGCAGGAGCCTAGCTAGCTCAGTATGGACAACCAGATAAGCCACAATACAGACAGGAGTCTGCCCAGCTAAGCTACATACCTGTATTTCTTCTCCTGAAAGATGGTATCTCTGACTGGTCTGGTTTGGCCAGAAGAGCACGACTGTGTGTTTGTGGGTATTTCTTTGTTTCTAAAGCAAGAGGGATTTTGATGGCAGAATTCTGCCATCATTCTAAATCTGTATAACTTTTGAATAAATAGTTCCTTTCCTTTTCGTAAGATCTGGCATTGGGAGTCATGGTTCTTATAGGTGGTGGGCAATAGAACCCAGAGCAATAGAACCCAGGTGTTCTGGTTCAGATTCACCTTGTCGAGACTGGCTGATGCTCCCCTGGAGAGTGGAGAAATGATTTGCTTTTGTTTTAGTTTGGGTTTCTTTAGATGCAGCCCCTGAGATAAGATTTTGAATGCAGATTGTGGGTGAAGGGAACATTGAGAAGGGGGGGCAGCGACATAAGGTATCGAGGGTAGACAGTAAAGGGCACATTAACAAGCAAAGCTCCACCACAGGTGACTAGTTCCTATCCCTGGGGACTGTTGGTAATTTCTCAGATACATGCCCCCCAAGAAAGAAGTTCGTTGGTGGAGAGCTGCTCCTGGGGTCCGTGAATTCCTTGGTTGTTCTGATCTGGCATAAGGGTAGGAAAAGCAGGTTCCAGTGTCAAGAAGAAGACACACAGCCAAAGAAATGCAGGTCCAGGTGGATGTCAGAGTTTGGGTTGTCCACCGAAGTGATGCGGGTGAGGTGATACAGGCAGGGCACCTGGTGTCTCCGCCAAAGGTGCGAAACACTTTCAGAACATTGCTTACGTGCTGAAGACTGAGGAAGTAACAAATAACATTGTACTAAAATGTTAGATGACTAATGTTGCTTTCAAAAACAAAATGGGATTAGGTTGCTCCAACCTGTCCTTGTTATGTGTTTCAATAAACGGACAAAAATTGTTGGGATTAACTTTCTCATTGTGGCGTGTGGTTCTAGATCGTAGGCCTAAATCTGCTGTTTTAAAATTGCCTACTCTTCTAACTATACCAACTCGTGGGGAAACTGATCCCAAAGATTTGAACACAAAAGAAAGTATAACTAATAAACCCCATGGGACGGCACAAGAAGTGTTAGTTTAGCAAATACAGACTAAGGGCTGAAGGACAGACAGACTAGTTGGCACAGAACTATAAGGAAGTAAGAAAAATATGTTAGGCTTGTTGGCTTGCTGAGTCAATGTCTTCCTTTGAATAATGCTGCTTTTTATTTTTACAACTTTAAGAATATGTTTGGTTCTATTTATCATGAAAAGGCCTTGAGTTGTCAACCTTTAGAAAATACTAATTGGCATATTTTTTTACCCACTCAAGGGAGTAACTATTTGTAGTATCGATTTGACTGATGACTAGATGGTCCCTTCCTGCTTTGGCTTTTCTTCATTTTCATTGCTCCCTCTTCACCTCAGTGTGGACTGAGCAGTGGGGAGGATCAGACATCTGTGCACATGTCTTCAGAGTTTATGTCTCTGTTTGCATGCGTGGGGTTTTATATTTTGTGTTAAAAATATATGAGAAAATATTGTCTGCAAAGATCTTTTAACTCAGCCAGGACAATGTCTCAAATACTGTAAGGAATAAGGGCTGTTTTTTTTTCTTTTTCAATGAGAAGTATGGGCCATTTATGCGCTTTTGATGAGCGCCAGTTAAAACTGGTTATTGTATGTAGTTTTTCCTGGAAAAAGAGAAAATAGTCTAATATAGCCTATTGAATCAAAGCTTGACCACTCCACTCAGTTGAATACTGCTTCTTTCCTTATCTGTTATTAGAAAATATACATAAGGAAGCAGTAGAAAAGATAGGGCTCATGCCCTTTTGTGGTTCACAGTTGCCTCTTCTCATTCTGTTCTAAACAATGAAAAGCCTTCCTGTGTTTTTGAAACACTTTTTGAAAAATCTATTTTACTGATTATGCTATTACAGTTGTTCCATTTTCTGCCCTTTCCCTCCCTCTGCCCTGCACACCCCCTCCCACCCACATCCCCTGCTTTAGTTCATGTTGATGAGTCATTTGTATAAGCTCTTTGGCTTCCCCAAGTCCTGTAATATTCTTAACTCCCCGCTGTCTATTTTGTTCATACCATTTATGTTTCTTACTCCCTGTACCTTTTCCCTCATTCTCCCCCTCCCCCTCTCTACTGATAATTCTCCATGTGATCTCCATTTCTGTGACTCTATTCCTGTTCTAGTTGTTTGCTTACTTTGTTTTTGTTTTTGTTTTAGGTTCAGTTGTTGATAGTTGTGAGTTGTTGTCATTTTACTGTTCATGTTTTTTTAACTTCTTTTTCTTAGATAAGTCCCTTTAACGTTTCATATAATAAGGGCTTGGTGATGATGAACTCCTTTAATTTGACCTTATCTGCCCTTCCATTCTAAGTGATAGTTTTGTGGGATAGAATAAGCTTGAATGTGCATCCTTGCCTTTCATGACTTTGAATACTTCTTTCCAGCTTCTTCTTAACCTGCAAGGGTTTGTGTTTTTTTGTTTTTGTTTTTGTTTTTGTTTTTGTTTTTTTGAGAAATCAGCTGATAGTCTAATGGGGACTCCTTTCTGGGTAGCTGTCTCCTTTTCTCTAGCTTTTTAAGATTCTCTCCTTATCTTTAACCTTGGATAATGTAATTATGATGTGCCCTGGTGTGTACTTCCTTGTGTCCAACTTCTTTGGGACTCTGGGTTCCTGGACTTTCTTTGCTAGATTGGGGGAATTGTCCTTCATTATTTTTTCAAAAAATTTTCAATTTCTTGATCTTCCTCTTCTCCTTCTGGCACCTCTATGATTCAGATGTTGAAATGTTTAAAGTTTTCCCAGAGGTGTCTTAGCCTCTCATTTTTTCTTTGAATTCTTGTTTCTTCATTCTGTTCTAGTTGAATGTTTATTTTTTTCATTCTGTTCCAAATTGTTGATTTGAGTCCTGGTTTCCTTCCCTTCACTGTTGGTTTCCTGTATATTTTTCTTTATTTCACTTTGCATAGCCTTCACTTCTTCTCTATTTTGCAACCATACTCCACCATTTCTGTGACCATCCTGATTACCAGTGTTTTGAACTCTGCATCTGATAGGTTGGTTATCTCTTCATTGCTTAGTTCTATTTTTGGAGCTTTGATCTGTTCTTTCATTTGGGCCATAATTTTTTTTGTCTCAGTGTGCCTGTTAGTTGTAAGGGGCAGAGTCTTAGGTATTCACCAGGGCAGGGCAATGCAGTTTTCTGTGTTGTGATGCTGTATGTGGGGTGGGGGGCTTCTGAGAGTAAACAATGTCACTTGCTCTGCTCGTGGCTGGCTTTCAGTCATTTCTCCCAGTACTCACAGGCAAATGGGGCCCTTCTGGTGCTGACTCTTGAGTGTCTGGTTTTCTGTACATTCTAGGACCCTGCGGGTTTCTCCAACAAACTCTCCTGTGAGGCTGGGAATTTCTCCCACCACCACAACCCCCACAGGTATTTAGAATCAGAGGTTTTTTGGTTATTGTTGTTATTTTTGTTTTTGTTTTCCTTCTTTTCTTTGTTTTTTATTTATTTAGTATATTTTATTGATTATGCTATTACACTTGTCCCAATTTCCCCCCCTTAACCTACTTCCACCCAGCAGCCCCTTCTCTCCAGCAATCTCCCCTCTTAGTTCATGTCCACGGGTCGTACATAACAGTTCTTTGGCTTCTCCATTTCCTATACTATTCTTAACCTCCCCATCTTTTTTCGTACCTATCAATTATGCTTATTATTCCTTGCACCTTTTGCCCCCTTCTCCCTCTCATTCCTTCCCTCCAAATGATCTCCATATCTATAATTCTGTTCCTGTTATGGTTTTTTGCTTAGTTTGTCATTTTGTGGGGGGTTTTAAAAGATTTTTTTAATTTTATTTACTTTTAGAGAGAGGAGGGAGGAAAAGAGGGGAAAAAAACCCATGTGTGTGATACATCAATCAGTCGCCTCTCACACGCCCCCATATGGCGACCTGGCCTATGACCTGGGCATGTGCCATGACTGGGAATTGAACCAGTAACCTTTCAGTTCACAGGTCAGCACTAAGTTCACTAAGCCACACCAGCTAGAATGTTTTTTAATTTTTTAGATTCAGTTATTGATAGTTGTGAGTTTGTTGTCCTTTTTAATACTCATAGATTTTTATTTTCTTTTTTTTTAATAAGTCCCTTTAACATTTCATGTAACAATGGCTTGGTGATGATGAACTCCTTCAGTTTTACCTTGTCTGGGAAGCACTTTATCTGCCCTTCCATTCTAAATGAAAGCTTTGCTAGATAGAGCAATCTTGGATGTAGGTCCTTGCATTTCATGACTTGGAATACTTCTTTCCAGCCCCTTCTTGCCTGTAAGGTCTCTTTTGAGAAATCAGCTGACAGTCTGATGGGAACTCGTTTGTAGGTGACTGTCCCTGTATCTCTTGCTGCTTCTAGAATTCTCTCTTTCATTTTAATCTTGGGTAATGTAATTATGATGTGCCTTGGTGTGTTCCTCCTTGGGTCCAGCTTGTTTGGAACTCTCTGAGCTTCCTGGACTTCCTAGAAGTCTATTTCCTTTGCTGGATTGGGGAAGTTCTCCTTCATTATTTTTTTTTTAATTTTATTTTTTTATTGATTATGCCATTGCAGTTGTTCTATTCCCTCCCTTCATTCCCCTCCACCCTACCCCCATCCCACCATTACCTCCCCTTTAGTTTATGACCATGTGTCTCAAGTTCTTTAGATTCTATATTTCCCATACTATTCTTGCCCCCCCATCTATTTTCTATCTACTGTCTATGCTACTTATTTTCTGTACCTTCTCCCCCCTTCTCCTTCTCCCACTCCCCTGTTCCTAACCCTCCTTGAGATCTTCCTTTCTATGTTTCCACTCCTGATCTACCTTTTGTGTGTTTTTGTGATCTGTCCTTTTAGTGTGTTTTTGTTTTAGGTGTGGTTGTTAATAACTGTGAGTTTGCTGTCCTTTCACTGTTCATGTTTTTTTAACTTCTTTTTCTTAGATAAGTCCCTTTAACATTTCATATAATAAGGGCTTGGTGATGATGAACTCCTTCAGTTTTACCTTGTCTGAGAAGCACTTTATCTGTCCTTGCATTCTAAATGATAGTTTTGCTGGATAGAGCAATCTTGATTGTAGGTCTTTGGATTTCATGACTTGGAATACCTCTTTCCAGCCCCTTCTTGCCTGTAAGGTC